CATTTTATAAAGATAATAATTAAGTATTCTATTAAAATTCAATGATTATCCTAATTATATTTTAGATTTTTTATATTTAAAATTAAATGTTTATCCTGTATTTGATTGTGTTTATCTGCAGTTAGTTACACGAATTCAGATATGGAGCTTTAATAAGTTGTACCTACGCAMAATTTACTTGTAATCTTGAGTTTTAAGTAATATACATTAATAAACAGTACTTTACGCATAAAAAGTGGTTTTTAAGAGTTTTTGTCAAATAATTTATAATATAGAATATATTTTTTATATATAATTTAATTTAAGTTTAATAATAAAACAATTTATTTTTGGTTTAATATTATAAATTTTATAAATATAATAATTAAGTATTCCGTTATAATTTAATGATTATACTAATTATATTTTAGATTTTTTATATTTAAAATGAGATGTTTATCATGTTTTTGATTGTGTTTATCTGCAGTTAGTTATACGAATTCAGAGATGAGATGAAATCGGATAGGAATGAAATCGTTTAGGGATGAACGAGTTTAAGAGTTTTTAAGAGTTTTAAGAGTTTTTAAGAGTTTTAGCCAAATGCTTTATAATATAGTATAGATATATATGGGAACGATCAAATGAAAATCACTCAATTTATAAAAACCGTAAAACCTCATTCAACCAATCATAATTTTTCATTTTGTTCATTTTTTTTGTAATTATGAGAGATTGATTAATCATTTTTATTGTGGAGGGTGTTAATCATGAATATTATTATCTCATTATTTTAATTTTAGAGAAATACATAAAACAGTTTCATTAAAATTTCATTAAGTAGTATATGAAACAATTTCATAACCATATATGAAACAAATTCATCAAAAAAAGTATTATATGAAACAATTTCACAAGATTAAACAATTTCATGAAAAAATTTCATAAGATTAATTAAACAATGAAATCGACGGATGATGGAGGTTTTTACGGTTTTTACAAATTGTAGTGGTTTTCATTTGATCGCTCCTATATATATATATATATATATATATATATATATATATAGGGGTCTATTCAAGAGAGAACTGATTAGTTTGTGATAACTGTGAGATCCAATCTTAACC